GGGGGGGGGAAGATATGATGATTTGTTTTTAATCTTACCTTGACTGTTAAACACAAGTACAGTGTTGGAGAGGAAGCTCACTAAAGTACAGAGATGACTGGCTAAATCGTTCATCTCATTCCAGAACGAGTTCTGCAATTTTATGCATCTTATGATGTTAAAATAAAGTTGTTAAAAGTTGTTAAGGCAGAACCCTTGACTAAAACATCACCTGAAGGACAATTGGCTCTTTTTGAACATAGGATTGTCTCTAGATTTGTAAACTAAACAAACTGCAGACCTTTAAAATGCCGACTGAAGGAAACAACAACAACAACAACAACTGTATGACCCTGAATAAGACTGAAACATGCAAACACGTTCACACACCTCTGAGGACGCCGGGCGGAAGCCAAAGCCAAGAGGTACGTTCTCCTCGTCTTCGCACCCTTTGACTCCTGGACTGAAGTGAAGCTCGACGTGGAAACGCTCCTCTGAGGACGGGTCCTGCTCACGACACAGATTCAAAGACATAAAGACAATTCTATGTGTTAAAAACTGCAGACTGAAAGAATATAAAAGGAGAAAGACATGCAGCTCTGGGCAAGCTGACCTTATTGTTGTCTTCATACAGCATAATGACTATCTGTGTCATGTAGTTGAGCTCAGTCACAGCACTCAGGTAGTCCATGGCCTGTTTCCACTGCTGGTCCTTCTCATCCTGGTACTCAAACAAAAACATACGCACTGTAAATGCAAACGACACTTCAGACATAAATACACAAACAAAACACCTGATAATATGATACATAAAATCATGTTTAGACATTAGCCTGTAATTAAACAACGAGGTTATAATGTCCTTAACCTGTATAATGATGTACCACAGAAGATATTAATCATTAGGGTTAGGTAATAAAGCTATATCAATATCATACATGTTTTTCCGATAATATGGCACCTAAATAAAAAAATTAAACACCTACGCATTTACAGGAATGTTTTATTAATGTGTTCCTACCAAATAAACCAATAACAAAGAGGTGATAAAATCAGACATACATCCAGCAGCCCTCCGTAGCGGAAGACGCTCAGCAGGGAGTGGACGTGGCTCTCGCTGGTGAAGTAGAGACGCGTGCGGACGTGACGACCGGGAGACATCACGCCGCGAGAATACCTGAACATCAGAGGACAAGACACGACACAAGTCAACATAGCACCGGCGACATCCATAAACCTACACAAACACACTGTGTGTTATGTGTTTTGCCTATATACACGTGAAACATGTTGGTGTGAGCTTCAGCGGCGGCTTGTGTTCTCACAGCGGGTGCAGCTTGTTAACGGCCTCGTCCTCGTGGGTCCTCTGCATGTCCAGCTGGATTTTCTTCATCAGAGGAACACAGTAAGCCTGAGCGATGTCGAGTTTCTCTGCTTTGCTGATGCCGTACTCCTGATATGGATGATATGAAAGGGGGAAAAAGCAGTTTGAACACTTTCATCCACTCCTTTGTAATCTACTTATTCATGGTCATGAGGAGATGGAAGTCTTATCGCAGCATATTTTGGGGAGGAAGGCAGGAAAACACGCTGGACACCACAGGATGAACAGATAACAAGTGACAAATCCATGCATGGAGGCCTTAGAATGGATGTTCTGTTACTGTGAATTATGCTGCGCCACTTCCAGAATGAATTGCTGTATTTTATGACATACTTGAAAGAGTTCTTTGATTTTATCTGCTGAGTCACACTACTGTTTTTTTGGTGCAACATTTTAATCTTCCCACGGAAATCAATACATTTTGATTTTATGCTCAAAGGGAAAAATGGTTTCATGACCACCACTTACTGCAATGAATGTGTGAAAGTATCCCATTAGTTACCATTCCCCCACATGATTTAAGTACATCATTTAACTCCCTAATTTAATGTGTGCCTAGCTAAAGCATGCCGTCTTCTAGGCAGGGTCGTGAGAGAACCTGAAATGTGCTACAAAGCTAAATGACGCCTTTAACCTGCGGTATGACGATGTCAGCCAGGGCGCGGGACAGTCTGAACAGCTCCAGCGTGTCCTCCAGTCCAAGCGAGGCGTTGTGCTGCGAGTCGTATTTGATGCAGTCATAGATGTCCGGGATCTTGCTGATGTCGTAGCGGCCGTTCTTCATGCGAAAGTCTCTCTCCAGTTTGGACCAGCGCTGCAGCATCAGCTCCAACGTCTCGCTGTGGTACAGCTGAAGGTCTGAGGAACAGCACAGGATGACTAATCTTAGTCCAAGTGTTAAAAAGGTAATCGTCTATTTTAACCGTTTCAGCTTCCGTCTAATTCATGTGGACAGAAGTCTTAATAAAATATCTCATCTTCAGAGTTAAACAGTTGATTGTTTATTTTCTCCACATGCGGCTGAATATTTTTTCTTCTGTACGCCGGTAAGACATGTTCTCACTACCTGCAGACTTGGGGTCCTCCAGTCTCTTGCGAATCTGTGAGTTGAGGCTCTGGATGAGGGCGTACACCTTGTCACAGGTTTTGACTGGATCCTGAATGACTTTCATTGAGTTCACCAGCGATGGGCTGCCAGTTGGTGCCAACTAGGACATGATGGAAACAGAAGGATAGAACATTATACCAATGAATATAGTCAGGAAGGACTTGAACAACTTTAGCCAGTGTTTTATATAGATGTGTATCAAAAAAATACTATTATGTCTGAAAAGAGATTTTACTTGTGGAAGATTACTGGCAAACATTCCTCCAGGCACCTCATCAAATCAAGCCATTGGTAGACTTCCACTTTGCCACACACCTTCTTATAGTCCTCCTCTGTGAACTCCTGGCCCTTCTGCATGATTTCATGCAGCCTGGCCTTCACTTTCTGTTGGCAGTCGGTCAGAGAGTCGCTGTCACTGTCCAGCAGCCCGTTCATGTTGCCGCTCTTCACCATCTGAACCAGGATCGGAGTCAACTCCCCTTCTAGAGCCAGCAGACCCTGCGGAGAAACCAGAGAACTTGAGCTGAATCCTTGTGTGGCCTTTCGTTTTCACTCAACCAACGTCCAACCACTGTGCTCATATTGTGTATCAAAGGATTTACAATTAATTTATCTACTGAAATATGGCATAGGAAACATTTCAGTGTGTTTAAATAACATCAGTTACACATAAAGTATATATACTGTATGTAGAATAGTCTCTCAGGTACGGGGCAGAGTTACCTTCGCGAAAGCAGCCGCGGTCATCTGCACCCGGCCCTCGTCAGAGGCGTAGATCTTCAGGTCATGGCGGTAAGTGCTGTGCAAGCGCAGGAGGCCACAGCCTGGAAACCCGGCATAGTCACCTGGAAGAATGCACACAGAGTGGGGCATCATGGTTAACTGGGATTAAGAATCAGCTGAGTCAGGGGGGTGGTTGAAAGAAAAGAGGAAAAAATAAAACTGTGTGTTGATTGTACCCAAAAGTACCAAGGACTCCCATTGAAAATAGGCACAACATCGCTTTCAGTTCAAATGAATTGTCAAAAAAAAAAAACCTCACCCACAAAATGACCATTTGTATATCAATTGCTCAGCCTGTGTTACTCTGAATTCTTGAAGAAACTGTTTTTCTCGCGTGCCTCCACGACGAACAAAGAAGCAAAAAAACGTGATGGCATGCTTGAAAAAGTACGTTTTCTGGTGATCTTGTGGGTAAAGTTCTCCTTGAAGCTACAAAATAAAATGAAGTGAAAGTAAAGTGGACAAATGTTGAGTAAACCCCAAACATTACTGAAGATGGCTCCTCTGAAGAGATCAAATACTTTAGATTAACCTACTAGAACATAAGAGTAAAATACAGTGAAATGAATGTAGGAGGTAGATGCATACCAACGCTAAAGATCAAATCACACTGATGCTTCATGCATTTTTCTTTAGTGTACAGTCAAATCATCAGCCTGATGTTATAAAATTGTCTTCCATCAAACAAAAAAAAACAACGCCCCAAGGACCCATAATAAAAGAATGCAGTAGGATTAGTGTGAGATGACCTGCGATAGCTCACAACACCAAACTGCAGTCACGTTATCCGACTGCACGTGTGACCAAAACAACAGTCGCTGCAGTGGATCATCTCAAGAACACGTCAACAACGATTCAAACGATGCACAGCAATCTGAATGTGGGACAAACGGGACTAGTCGCCGGGTAAAATGAGACAAAATCACGGTGAAATCAGAGCATGTTAGTGGACGGGACGACAAACGCGAGGAATGAGAAAGGCGTGGAAGAGCGGTGATGTCCAGGAAACCGTTCTCTTACCAAAGTCAATAGGGGACTCGCAGCCAAGGGACCGGCGATTACCGGCTAGTAGTTTACACAGAGAGCAACGACAGGTAAGAAGAGAAGAGCAGAGTTAAACTTGTGGAAGAGAAAGAAGCATGAAAACAGTGGCTGGGATGACAAGACAGCCTTCTGTGCAGGGACGGACTACTTTCACTTCTGCTTCAGGTGGTTTTTCTGTGCAGTTTGGGAGTTGTTTTGCATGCACTACGAAACAAAAAGCAGAAAGAAGGAGAGCCGGAGGAAGGGTCATCTATGAATAACACAGAGAGCTCTGCGAAGTAGTCAAGAGAGAGAAACCGTAGTGCAACAGGCAGGTTTGTCCGCTCACACATTGTGTTTCACTCTGGTTAATATTACGGGTTAGAGGTGCTATTCTTAAGCATTAAAGAGTAAAGGAGTTATAGGAAAAGCACTGCCGCATTTCTGTCTCATGCACAACACCCGACATCACAGTTGGGTTTAGTCGGGTTTGCTCGGCTGCAGAGGATGTGGAGACTGCGCTTCTCAATGATAGAGCCGAACTTCTGTTCATGTCCTTTGGTTCCCGATATAAAGACGCCGTTTATCTCAATTACCGTCATTGCTTTGAATATAAAAAAAAGCTGCAACCGTTGCACCAGAATGTTGAAGCCAATGTGGAAGTGGTTGACAATACAATCTTAAGTCTCAAGTTTCACCTACTCGCTGACGGGAGTTTGCCCGTTTGCTATGAATCTGTAGATGTTCAATGTTTATTCTGAGCACTTTTAGGACTTTGAGTTAAGACTATTTTGTTAACTGCCATTCCCAAAGTTCAAGAATGAGCTGGTCAAGTATTTAGATGCAGTTTATCACACGCCCACTGATGACTGTATGTAACTGGGAAATTCCCAAATGTATTCCTTCAAATGTCCACATTAATGGCCGCACTGACTTTATTTTGGTGCAGCAAAGATATTGTACAAAGCCAAGATTACAGACTTCTGATCGCCGTCACTCCTTGTGTGCATCTGACCTGCTGCTGCTGTGCGGTGGCACCATGTTGAAAGTGGGCAGCAACGCAGACTAGCTAGTTTCACTTTATATATATATATATATATAGATATATAGATATATAGATAGATAGATATATATATGTAGTGTTTACCGTCTTCACTGAGACATGAAACGACTGTTAATCAAAGCTTTGGGAAGGGAAAGAGATACGGGACAAGATGAGAAGACTGAAGGAAAAAGAAAGAGAGAGGGTGATGGAGATGAGAGAAGAGCAGGTACTGCCCCCTGCCCAGGACAGGATTTAGGATAGGATAGTGTCATGATATATTATTAATTTACAAAAATATTATTCTAAAACACACATCGTGTACTGTTTGAGACACATTAATAAAATTCAAATCCAAAATATGAAATAAAAAGAGTGGATTTAATTTGAGTTATTTGAATACACGTTGGTAAGGAGTACCAGAGAAAGCGACAGGCAGTGAATACTGCAGAGCTTTTATCATTCAGTCATTTTATTATTGTGTACGAGTTTAAGTGAAGGCAACGCATCAATAACAAAAAGCACAAACGGCTGCTGTAAGCCTGAAAACCTGGCTTGTCGAGTCTAAAATAACCTCCACCTTTGATCTGCTGTGCAGTATGTACGCTATGCAGTGTTGATACTGTGCACTGTAGTGCTGTGCGTGGCTGGAAAGAAGGCTGGAAATAGACTTTTATGAGCGAAGGCACACGTGGGAGGAAAGACAAAGCTGTATGATTATCATTTGCCATCTTGACTGCGTTATAAAGAAATTACCTTTGATAATGTTTTTGTATTTGCTTAAAGGCATGTGTATAGTGTATGTGTGTGTGTATATGTGATATGTGTGTGTGTCTGTAGGGATTATTTGCATATGTACACAAAACTCCCCCAAGTAATTCCCATCATGGATGTTTGAGAGGTGAATTTCACATTGTAAAAGTCAGCTAATTTAATCTGCTTTGACAAAATAAAAAACAAACATTGAAGAACTCCGTTTACATCAGAGCCAAAGTAGAAGGATCCCTCTTGAGTACATCTACTAGCTAATGCGAGTGTGAATCCAGTGTGTACCTTGACCTCCAGGGTACATGCAGCGGAAGGCCCGGCCCAGCTCCTCAGCCTGAACCCGGCCTGCAGGCGTCAGCTCGCCGCCCCACTTCAGCACCAGCAGCAGAGACGGGCCGTCCTTCTTACAGTCTGAAAAACAGCAGCGTAGCGTTATTCATATCAGCAACCACCATACAAAGATACTTAACACAACTTTAATTTGGAGTCAATGTTTATTTTGTAATCAGATTAGTATGATCTGTTTAGACGTGATCTCTACCGTACAATCACCCCACAACAGACACAGTCACAATGTGCTACCAGAAGTACAAGTACTACTTTTGTGTTTCTGTACCTTCTTCTTCGCTGGAGGCTTTAGGTTGGCCGTTACGCAGGTAGGTCAGCTGGACTTTCCTGTTGATACCTGAGAAATGGCCGTACCTGGCGAGACAACACAAGACACACACAAAGCACACACATTTTGATATGCACATAGACACACGGTCAGCACACGCAGAAACGCAAAAAGGTTTTATCCCACTTTAAAGAATTTAGTTTAAATATTTAACGGCAAATAAATTAATTCTATTCCAACAAACGCTTAACGAGAGGATAGAACAAGGCAACACATCTGACACACTGATCATTCACTTAACCAAGTATTAGAAAATGTTTTATGATCAACTAAAGACCAGGAGCAGTTATAGTCCCAAAAAAATACTTTGATATTCTCTGAGATACAAGTGGTAAAGAAACCTAAAAAAACCTGAAAAAAAATAGTGGAATTCTTTACGTCAAAGAATAAACACCACAGCGTACCACCCCGTTAAACACTGCGGTAACGTGAGCCGCTGAGTGCGATGTTAATTATATTAATGTTTATTTATGTTCATATATTAACACAGTAAGAATATGCATATGACTTTTTCAGGACCTTCGCCTCGCTCAGAGGCCATCTCACCTTAAGAACACAACATTTACTCGACGGCTACATTTGTGACTTTATTGTCAGACTTTCTTCTTGAATATTCTCTGAGATTAAGTCATAAATTTGCAAGTTTTTTCCATAATTTTTCAAATTTAACGTATGAGTTTTTTTCTTGTAATTTTAAGACTTAATCTTAAAACTTGAATGTTTGTCACGTGACTGCTGGTCTCAGCCGAGTCATTCTTAGCTTCCCCGTTGCGCTGAGGAGCATGGAATTTAATGTTTTTTTACAGAATCTGTTTTGTGCAAACTGTCGATTTTTGGCAAAATATTAAAGGAGAATAAACTGATTTAGATTAAATACCACTCTTTCAAGCTTAGATTTAGTTATTGTTTCTGACGGAACCGCTTGTCGCACAAGTAATTCGTTGGAGGACAAACGGAAAATCTGAAGCTAATTTCTGTTTTTACAGTTTCCTGCTTTGATAAATGGTGTAACGTTGGCAATTCCATTTTTCAAGAAAACACGACTTTCACACCGGACGGTGGGTTGTGGGTTCAGAGGATTAAAACATATTTGAATTTGGTATACTGGGGGTTCAATCACTGCTAGTGTATAAGCTGGCAGTAGTGTGACCAAGAAAACATTTTACACTAAAGTGGATCACTCCTCAATTTAGTGTTAACTACAGTGGACTTGCATGTCCCGCCTTTTCATAAAATTAGAACTTTTTCATTAAACCGTTGCACGTTAGAATACAAACTGTTTTGAACTTTGCATTTCTTTTTGAAACGGACAATCTCCAACTTCCAGATTAGTTATGTTGTTGAACTCATTTCAATCTCTTCGAAGAGGAGCACCAGCAAAATCACTAAGATGAAATGCTGATGGGAGTCCAGTTGAAATGTGGTGAGAACGTCACACGCACACGCACACGCACACACACACACACACACACACACACACACACACACACACACACACACACACACACACAGAGAGAGAACCACAGTGAAATCATCAAGGACATTTGACTGTGTATGTGACGAGTGTTAATGGATATTAATGGAAATGATACTCGGTGCACAAAACATTAGGAATACCTTCAACATATTGAATTATCTTTGCTATATCTAAACTACCTTCTTCCCTGTTTACACACATTCATCTACAATCTTAAATCGGTCTGTGAGAGAGAGAGAGAACAGGTATTCCTAATATTTTGAACGCACAGTCTAAGTAGACTAAAGACAAGGGAGGAGGTAAAGCCTCATCCTTATAAGTGAGAAGGGACAGGGTGCGTACTGAGTCTCATTCAAGCTGGATTCCCTTTTGGAGAGAAAGGAGGAGGGATGGGTGGGCAGGAGCAAAGACAGATGGAGGAGGGAAGAGAAAGCAAAGAGTTAGAGACTCAAGAGGGGAGGGGAGGGAGAGAATCGAGGTCAACATGTGTCTGTCTGTGAGTACGAGAAAAGGTGGCTGAACCCTGGTGGAGTGCTGAAAGATGAAGAGTGGGTGACTGCTAATGAATGATGACGGTGACAGGAGGACGATGAATGATGTGACGTCACTCACATCTCCAGGACAGTCTTGAGTTGCTCCAATTTAGATTTCTTCTCCTCGATCTCACAGTCGTTGTGCTGGCCCAGTTCAGCCAGCAGCAGGCGGGCGATGTCCAGCACTTCCTGGAAACACAAGAGACAGTTATTCGTAATTTGTCTCTTATCTTTTGATTTTACTTAGCTGACTAAAACACACAGAGGAACTTCTGCAAACGTCCTGATTGAGTATCAAGTCAAAGACAAGACCGCCAGCTTGAAAAATGTTTTTTTAAAAGATGATACGGTGACGGGATGAATGCAGTGTGAGCCAAGTATAAAATATTTAAACAAAACAATAATGGTTTGACATCCATAATAATAATTATGAAGCATGAGATATGCAAACGTAACTGTGTCCTCTGAAACATTTCATTATACTTAAAGGGATTCAGTCATAATCTGCCAGAAAAAATACAAAAATAAACAGGCAGAAGAGAGGGATTGTGGGAAGAAGAAGGAACACTCACTTGTAGTTGTTTTGGCTTCTTCAGCTTTAGTTTTCCTGACTTGTAGCCTCCGTACTTCTCAAACAACTCAAAGAATCTGTGCAAGACAAACAGAATCATACAGCAATATTAAGAAATACAGTTATATTAAATGAGGGCAACATCTTTTAAGTCAAACGTATTTCACATGTTGACTCATCCCTAAAAATAAGAAGGTTCAGAGAGATTATTCTTATGAGAAAGCAGTTCATGCTGAAATGTTATATTGTTACACTTGCACTTTAAGTTAGACTACTAAATAGACTATAATTATAATAAATTGAATAAATCCAGTTTGTGAGGACAGTCATTTCTTTCCTCACACAGCTTACAATTTAATCTTCTTATGCAGTATTTCATAAGAAAGAAGTCACGACGTGACCAAATATTTGATGGACAGAAAGACGGAGAGACGTCTTTATGCTCAAGCCAAGAGACTTACAAAGGATGTCGGACCTCCATTTTCATCTTTTGCTTCGGTGTGCGATCTCCATGGCGGATGATGGCGATAACGCAGCGCAGCTCCATCCTGAATAAAGCAGAGGAGTGGATGGGACAGAATTAAAATGCGGCAGAAACATTGCACCTCTACAAACGTCCTAAAGATCTTATCCAAGCCTGAAACACACTGCTCATGATCAAGACCGTCACTGTGGATGAGAAACCACAGAATACTAACACATTCTAATGAGTGGTAAGTAAATATATGGCGAAATAATCGATAAATTCTGTGCAATTTTAAAAATCGAACATTGAAATTTTGATTTTGGTTGCAACATTAAGTTCAAAAGTACTAGGTTTTGAAGTCAAAGACCTGAGGAACCATGAAGACCACATGGCCGATACTTTGTATTTCAGTACATACATGGTTCCTGAGGTTGTTGGGACGATGGGGATGTCTTCAGCTTCCATGGGGATGGACCAGGGGATGTGGAACTGGGGGGCTAACTCCCTCATCACCATGTTCCTGGTGAGGCAGAAACAAGTTAATAACTGACTTTAAGACATTATGAGCATTGGAATCAGGTAGACATCACAGAGGGAAAGGAATAAATACAAACGTAAAGTAAACAAACCGAGTGACAATCAGTTTTATTTTAAAGTAATAATCTTGAATATTTTCATGTAAATAAACGTCTGTGAAGTCACTAACTATGTGAGGTAACACAATGGTGATCGAGGCTACTGATGAAAGTATTGTAATATTTATATATTTGCAGTATTACAAACTGGGCGTCTGTGGCAAAATGAAGTTACTGCTAATGCAAAGCAAAGATGTCCTACCGCTGCAGCGTCACGTTAAAAGCATTTAACTTTTAATATGAAATCACAGGAAATGTGTTTGTCAGCGAGCTCGACACTGACCGACGTCGCTCATGAAAAATGCATCTACAACACAAGACAATGGACCTTTGGGGCATTTTTGACAGAGAATTAGTTTGAAATATTGCAGGAAGAAACTGCAACAGTCGGTCGCAGCCACAGCGAGCCGTTAGATGAAGAGCTGCAGGCGAAAAGCTGCACACCTCGACGTTCTCAGCGTCGTGTGCAGCATGGAACAACTCACAGAATGATGGAAAAAGGCCAAGTATTGCCTGACTTCTTTATTAAAACGACAAGTTTGTTTTGCTGCCCACAGGACTTGCACCACCAGTAAATAGGGTGTCACCAAATCACCCAGGAGTGACATCTTTAGGATTGCCACTTTAATATTTTCATTTAAAGTCGTGTCTCAGATTCTTACACAATGCATGTTCTTTCACTTAAACTTGCTACTATCAAGATTTTGCATTTCAGATAATACAAACGACAGTATAGCAAAATGAACGCAAGTAAGCTTTCCGTTCCCTCCTGTTTTGTGTAATATGAGGAGTTCCTGCGAGGTCTTTGAATCCTACCGTGTGCTTCCTGAGCATCACACATAGCTACTGTAGCTAGTGTCCATTACTGGAGAGAAGCTGCATTTCCTGCGTCTTGCTATTCGTAAAATGTAAGAGTCTTTACTCGTAAAGCTTCAGTTACTTTGCCTGGAAGGAGAAGCGATAAATCGGAAACAAACTAAGCTGTAAAGCCGACGGCGGAGTCCTTTGGATGAATTACAACATGACAGCTTCAAAGCAATATGTACAGGTACGACATGCAAATTCTGCAAAGTGTCTGAGAAGTCAAATAATATAGAGAACAAAAAGAAGAGCCTGCTTCTTCATCGCAATCAAACTATGCAATCCAGAAATCTACCGGTTAGAGCTGACATTTACATTCTGGTGCACATTATTTTAATTATGACGACTGCAACTAAAACGTTTCATTATCGAGTCTTTGTACCGTCTGTCTGTGTGCTTGTTTTCGAAGATAGAAAGAAACTGTTATATTTCAGTGTTCTACTCAAACTTAATCCATTTATGCTTCAGGAAAGTTACAAGTGAGTAGGGCCGAATAGTCAGAAGCTTCGTTATAACGTTCACATTCAAATTCTGAATCAGAATTTCTATTAATTTAGTTTAAACCTTGTATTTCTGAACGGTTACAGATAAAGAACAGGCTACACTAATATCAGTAGTGTTACTATTTGTGGCTGCATTCATCAAAATATTTCCATTAACTCCAGAGCATTGTAAAGTCCAGAAGTCAAGATTTATTGAAAACATTTATACAACCATAACAACAAAAGAATATATATATTCCTCTTATTTTAGAGTGATGATGTCATAAAATATGACGACAGACATTACAAGCTTCATTCGATAGAAGCTATGAATGTTTAAAAAAAAAACAGCCTTTCAACAAGAAGGCAATTCAAAGTTCTTTACATAAGATTAGGCATTAAGGATATGAAGATATAGAAGAAACAATATAAAAAGAAACACAAAAAATGTGATTTTAAAAAGGGTAAAACTAACTAAAATAGAAGATGAAAATAAAGAAAATAAAACACAATAAACAAAACCAAGATAGATAGCCTAAGCAAAGGGATATTATGTAAACTGATGTCCCTTACCCCAGGACCTTGGCGCAGTCGTCGTAGTATTTCATGGAGTTTTTGACGAAGCTGAAGCCGTTGACGTCACAGACGAAGGAGTGGCCGTTGGCTCTGAGCAGGTCGAACCCGCACACTGTTTGCTAAAAGTCACATAAAACAGAGTTTAACAGATTATAATGTGGAGAAACACAACTTCATTGTGTTACATCGGTCTAATAAAAACAGACCGATTAGTCAACACAGATCCAGAGTGATGAGGTTGAGTTTATGAAGCTTCTAACGCTACTCAAAGGGTTTTTATTTGTTTGTTGAAAGGAACATTTTCTATTTGGGCTCCTACGTAAAGACAACGTTCCTTTGGGAATACTGTGTAATACACAAAGTTGTAATATTAAGAGCTGTACTTAAATAATACAAAGAACCTATGAATCATTGATTTTCTGTGCCTTACATCGTCTTTATTTGTTTGTTGGGAGTTCAGTGTGAACTTGAATTCACTGAACGAGCTGTGGATGTTAATGGAGTAAGCACCAGAGATCCTCTCTATTTGTTTACCGATTGGTGCGTAATGTTGGTCAGAACAGTGCGACATGAATAATTATAATTACTTAATGTGTCTGAAACGGCTTGTGTTTACAGTAATTGGTTTACACGTATTTTCTCCCTGCTCTATAATTATTTATTTAGGTCTAATGAGCTGATAGCAGAAGCTCTTACTGTCTTGTTGGTGCAGTGTTTGTGTTGGCTACAAATGGATGACAATGAGTTACGATGACAACGGACACGCATCTGTGCCTCCGTCGCTCTGAATATTTCTCGGTGTATACCGCTCTTGATGCATTCTTGGTTTTCACAGCACCTTCAATCTAACAAAGGTAGATGTCGGCCCCCTGAACACTGTAGCTGACCTCCCCTGCGTGATGACTACAGTTTACCTTGAAGGCCAGGCAGACCTTGCGGGCCACCAGTTTCTCCATGGCGGTCAGCATGACGGGGTAACGGATCTCCTTTCCCTCACTGTCCCGCTCCACCTTTCCATCCAGGGCGGGAGATTTCCGGGCCTCCGCGTGGGCGTAGTCTGGACCCACTGTGTAAACCTGAGATGTCCCGACACACAGAATGGGACGATCATGATTTTAACATTTCAGCATGAGTTACTAGTGCATGACTCAACTCCATCCTCCATCAATAGAGGAGTGAACATGCACCGCACCTTCACATCGGTACCATCCGTGGGCATAAACTCCTCGTAGATGTAGGATCCAGTTTTTCGTACGCTGGTCTCCGGGGAGTACACACTGCTACGACTCCCTATCTACAGCAGCGAGGCAGAGAGAGAGAGAGAGACAAGAAGCAAACCTGTGAATAAAAACCTTATTTCACCGTATTACCCAACGTTTGATCCATCTTTTTGGTTTTCTGATTGTACTTTGTGTCATTGATGTTTCACTGTACTAAAAAGCCAAAATGTTAACTCTGCAGCAGCCATATAACCATTTTCTTCATTTCATTTACCAAGTATAAAATAATGCAATAACACTGAGTCAAACCCCTAAAAAGAGGATTTTTTTAAAGTGATCATAATAACATGTAGGGGCATCTTTAAGCAGCTCAACAAGCTTATAAACTGTCCATCAATGGCAACGTTTACAAGCAGCGTGACTTGCAGCTGAACTGCTGCTTCCTTGTTGTAAGTAGCTCCGGATCATCTGCCAACGACTGAACTGTTTCTCCTGCATCACTTGGGGGACCTCTACCTTTCTGAAGAGTCTCTGGCTGCCCCCTCCAGCAGACGTTGGGTAATAGATGTAGACATTGTGGTCCTCTGCACACACGGGTTTCTCCACGAAGGGTTTAGGGAACACCTCCCCGTTCACCTCCACATGGTCCTCCGCCTCCACCAGGTTACACTCTGCACACGGGTAAGACTTTTGGTTTAAACACATACTAAAACAATACAGTTAAAAAGTGATAAATATTTATGTACTTTATGTATCCTTTGTTTAACCAGGATAGCTACTAAGACACATTATTATTACGTTATTATGTTATTCCAGTACACACCGGGTCAAAATGGTAAATCCCATTTTGTTTACAAAGTACAAGAGAAACAAATCATCGTAGGTATTTTATATTATATATATATATATATATATATATATATACACATTATAAAGTCACTGATGTCCTGTATGCTGCTATAAATCATAGATTTATCATCAGATACATTCTTACTGGAATCGATGGCTTTGTTTTAGTTTGTTATGATAAATCATACAAACTTATTAATAAGGAACCATTACCTTCAGGATTGTCGGGGTCCCGGTTCAACACAGCATAACGAGGCAATTCAATGCCCTCCTCCTGGAGGATCCGGTACACTTCCCTCCTGACAGGGAATCAAACACCATTAGAGAAAACATCCAAAGGAGAGGATAACCAAAGTGTGTGTGTGTGTGTGTGTGTGTGTAGGCGTGTGTGTGTGTGTGTGTGTGTGTGTGTGTTTAAACTGTACCTGTCCTGTATGAAATACTGCATGTTGAGGTCGTTGATGAGCAGTGGATTCCTGAGCTTGGCGTACTCCACAGCTTTGTCCAGGGGGAAACCTGAAGAAATGTCACACCAACAAAAACTTAATCAGCCCGTAAAACATCTCCTCTGATTCAATCAACCAGCAAATAACTGAAGTAACAGTGACTTTCCTGTTTTGCTTTCCTCATAGTTACTGAGCCTTTATTTAGTTCAGCACAGCAGGGAAATTGTCTAAAATTGTCTCGATGGTTCATGAATGAGGTCACGAGACGGTTGAGTTGGAAATTAGCTAATTTACATTTGTTGGACCTTCATCAGATATATAAGATTATTACGTTTTATGACGCGCTGTACATTCATAAATATTCCAGCAGTGAACCCGACAGGGTGCGGGAGTTCTCATTTTTATTCAATAAACTTCAACAGAAAATTAAAAGGAACAAGTTTTGTCATAACCACTTTACATGTTTTCATAACAGGCTTGAAGTTCTTTGTGTAGAGTAAGTTACTGAAGTGCATTTAGTAAACTACTGATGTGTCACCAGCGGATAAAAACACACATTCTCAAGGCAACTGTTCACCGTACTGTTCTGAATGTGAATGTCTGCAGGAAATCTTAGTGTTTCTACTTTCTAATAATAACAGCAACAACTCACACTATGTTCCCATGGTCCGAGAAACAATCCCAAACACTCACTCTTTTAAAAATAGAACGGAAAAACAGTCTCATGTGATAAACTCAAATACACACAGATCAGTGTCCAACGGAAACATTACTGAAAGGATCGCTATGTAATATTTAGGTGCGCGCGCGCGTGTGTGTGTGTGTGTGTGTCTGTGTGTCTGTGTGTCTGTGCTGTAATCTGAGCTTCTTTGTTGACATAGCCGGGCCGGCCACACGTGCCTTTTAGTGCATGTGAGCGTGCCCCACTCGGTCAGCACTGTTGCCGCTGTTTGCACTGTTAGCTGCGAGCCACCGGCTCAGCAGTCGCCATGTTGAGAGCCATGTGGAGGCAATAGATATGCTCTGAATATTGATTTAGGATCTTTAAATAGTGCATGAAGGTTTGTCTAAATATATATATATACTGTATATATATTCTAAATGTAAATGAATGTGTGCAGCCAGCAACATGTGTTCAAGTGTCCATCATGTTTTTTACCTTTGGAGTGGAAGGAGATGAGGCAGTCGCAGAGCGGCCATTTCTCCACAGGCTCCTCCAGGATCACCTCCTCGGGAAAGATCACCATGTTGATGTAGTCAAACTTACAGAGTCGCTCCAGGATCTGAGTCATGGGTTTGGATTTGGACTTCTTCATCATGGCACATATGCCGACCACGATCTGTCGCTCTGGGGGCTGGTGGACAGGACAGGAGACAGCAGAGATGTCATGAAACCACTCTTCAAAATGTACTGGCCCTACTGTTGATGTTGTGAAAAAAAAAGAGTAACTATCACACTTTGGAATTTAAGCCTCTTGAGGCAAACTTGTGATATTGGACTACATAAATAAAATTGACTTAATTGGCACAATCGTTGGTACTTACAATTGTATTTATAATCAACCATCAATTATGATTCTAGTATGTAATGAGCTTTACAGCTTCCTATGGCCACTAATGATGCTACAATTATAGTACGATAACTGTGAATGATGACAGCTGTGTCTTTATTACCATCAGATCGTCCAACGAAACCTGAAAATCTCACCATTAAGTACTACAAATAGGAGAAGTCATTCATTAGCAGGCTAAAACTTTTTCCCGCGCATGGAAAATGTATTTGATTCTTGAGATAATGTTTCTGTACATGGATCCTCACAAAATAAGTAAGAGTCTCTGCTGCTGTGCCACAGTGGCTGAGGTGACAGCTCGAAGTTTGAACTCAACTTGAAATCATAGCAAGTAAGTGAGCAGCTACCACAGCGCTACCATAAAGTCCTTCTACAGCTGCCAGAGGCTGTAAAGCTGTTTATCTGCTGCACTGTTCTCACGCCAGCCGTTGTATATTTTTGTCTTCCACTCCAAATAAAAACTTTCCCCTTTAAGATCTCCAGGCTTGTTAAAACTGCCCAGAAATGCCCAAAGCTTTGGCTTCCTGTTCCAAAATTAAACCCCCTTTTTCCCCATTGTAAATTTACAGTTATTAAGTTATTATTAACACAATGCCTGGACACTTACACAATAGCATTATTTTCACTTTGATGTAAAATGTCTTGAACACCACCTGTCACCTACCGACTCATCGTCATAGTCGTCCATGTCTTCTTCTCGAAACATCTCGTTCTTCATGCCTGCCTCCATTTGACCCATGTCCTGCTCGTCATCCCCACAGCCAACCACAAACCAAGGAACGCCTCTGTCGCCCCGCCCCTCTGCGTCCTCTTCTTCAGGTCCGACGCAGGGCTTGCTCATCACAAGCCACCGCCAAACATGGCTGCTTCCGGGTGGCTCCTCCCCCAAGCTGGCGATTACAGCAGGAAGAAACCAGAGTCTACTGTGTTGCACTGTCGCTAGATGACTGACGCCTGAGAACCTGGTGATAAAGTAATGAGTCCGACGGTGATTCTGAGGCTGGCTGATAACGGCTACGTAGAATGTGTTGAGGTAGAGGAACACGAGGTAGATGAGAGGGAGTGGGCTCCACGTGTGTTGAGGTAGAAAGTCAAGATCAGGACAGAGGAGGTCTGGCTCTGAGAGATCACATGGACGAGTCTGGAGACGCTTCTTCACACAGGAACCTCCAGAAGCAACAGTTCTCTTGCCCTAGGAATACAAAAAAAAAAGTTCAAACTATTCTTTTGGGAGGAAAAACTGTTTACACAAAACACTACAACAAGTTAATCCACATGTAACATTGCTCACCACTATATCTGTACTACAGTTATCTAGTATTACTCTTAGTGAACATCAGGAACCTCTGAGGCTATTCAACTTAAAGACATTATTAAGCTGCTGAAAGTTTGATAAATAGCTGTTTTTAAGTCTGCAGGTTAGAATGAACTTCTTCTGTCCAAACTTTGATAAATTCAGTTGTTTTAGTCTAACAGCTCCTCCAGGCGAGATGAGCCACACTTCACTAACACACATACAAACACTTTAAAATCTTTGTACCCAACAACAACAACAGCAGCATCTAGTCCTTCTAGTCCTGCTGCACCTGAAGAGGAGCCGGACTGTCTCTCTATTGTGTGTCCTGGACACATGTACAGGTGGATCGAGGTGGATCACGTTACTCTGGTTTGCAGAAGCAGCCACTAATGAAACACCCTTGATAGAGGGCCCTGGTGTCACTTTTATCGTAATTATAAAATTAGAACGAATATAACCTGCAGCCAGCATCGATATATGTCATTGATAGTCTCCTTTGCAGTACATAAACACAATCTATTCGGCTGTAGATATTATTCTTGAATGCATTATTACGTCTCACTCTGTCTGTTGCAACACTGAAGTTGTTTCTGCAATTGGTTTTGAATTTCCACTTTTTACACAAAGGCATTCTGGGAAAGTGGAACACAGAGCGCTGCTGTTTGTTGTCATTGTCTGTGCGATGATGACAGTCTGATCATAACAATGGAGCTTTTAGCCCGTCCTCTTAATGTGGCTTTCCAGCTCCCACCCAGAAGGAGAACGTAGTGTCGTAAGCTTCTGCTGCTTTATTACACTATTCTGATTACTATGCCTTGTATTGCTGCAACTAAAAACAAATACACCACTAATATCTATTCTAGCTATATGAAATGACAATGCATGTCATGCATACTAAACTCAACCAATATATACTTAAATATAATTGGGTTGGACATTATAACCTTCATAAAAGTAGGATTTATTGCAGGACTTTTGTTTCTTCTAATTATACTATAAAACTTGACCTCCACTGTTTTCATAGTAAAAACCTTGGGGGGAAGTTAGAGGAACTTCAGTTAGAGGAAGTCAGAAAATGTCCTGTGTGCAGCAGTACTCAATGACGACGTGACTGAACACTCATAACACACATCAGACGCACTTTTCTAATCGTCTCTCGCCAAATATCCGACAGTTAACGGCTGCCAAATTTCACCAAACAGTTGCAACACTAGTGCTTCAAGATAATGGACGTGCGCGGCCACCGCTTATCTGATCAGATACCACGCAATAAAGAAACAAAGCTGTTATGTCACTGACTCAGTGACAGAGCGAGCTGTGACATGTGGCCAAGCTAGAAGAAGAAACGTGCCGCTGTGGTATGCTGTGGCAGAAGTACTCAATACTGGCTCACATCCCTCTCACCAGTATAGTCTAACACCACCCCCTCCACCCCTTCAAACACCACCACGCTGCCCCCACCACCCACGACTAACAGCTGACTCCAGGAACATAACGGTGGATCGTATCACCTCTCGGTGAAGCAGCCACGCAGTCCTCGAATGACTGCAAGAACGTATTTAAAGTCACTTCCACTCCACATGTGACGACATGTTGCCTGACCTTGGTACCCAGAAATAACAGTGTCCTTCCTCGGAGCAAAAGGCGGCGGTGTTGGGTGCCATCGGGCGGCTACGCTTCCCAAAGATAACTCATCGTTACTGAAGCTCTGAGGCGATGACAGGCTCCACTAAACAACGTGGAGGCCCTTCTTGCCGGCGGCCCGTAAAAAACTCGTAAAAAGATACAACTGCTGCACTTGAGTTCACTTTACCTTTTCCAGGCCAAGGGCACAACCTTTACTCCAACTGACATCGCACACTATTACAAATATTATGCATCAAATCACACAGAATGTAATTCCAACCAGAGATCAAGTCAAGTGACTTCACTGATTCAAAATAACTTTCAGCTCTGAGCTCAGCTGATGTCAGGATTGGCTGTGAGGGAGGGAGGGATGATTCATGACTTAACACACCTGATGGATCGGTTTTGCTATTATCATTTATTTCCAGGCACACTGTGCTATGAAGCAACATTTCCACAGAAAACCAATCATTTGCATGTTGGAAGTGGACACCGAAATCTCTGACGAATCTGTAAATCTGAGCTATGTCACAATGCCATCAACCTCTGCATTCACATGTTTCGTGGTAAACATCTATTGATGTTATGTTTCCACTGGGTTCCTATAGCAGTTTGAAAACAAGTGGTACTCTTATTTGGGATAGATATTGTACCTAAATAGTTCATAAATACAAACACAAAACTGTCAAGCATCCAAAGATGAACTGATCAGATTCTTAGTCCTGTTTACTGATTATCTGATGATATAATTCACCAGATTCCCTTAATTGTCTCCATCAATAAAGTCATAAATTACTTCATGATCCTTCCACCGAGGACGCAACGGAGAAAGAAAAAGAGAAAGCAGACTAAACTTGTCATGTGATCTCCTCTCTGCCGGTGAAATTATATCAAATAAAGTAAAATCCTGTGTCACCCATGAATAAATTAGGTGGCTGATTAAAAAGCATCCCCAGCTATCACCTGCAGGCCCTCGTGCACGGATGAGTCACTGCGGAGCCAGAGATCGGCGACACGGCTCCAATAAAAAGCTTTTAACCTTTGAGACCGTCTGCCACAGGAGGCCCGTGTCGAGTCCATGACCGGTGAGGCAGGAGACGGTCGTCAGCCCCAATCACCTCTCTGATATCACGGCACACGAGAAACACTGTGCAGGAGGCAACTGTCAACTACAGACTCATAACTTGTGGATTGATCTAAGAACTGGGTCATTTCCTAGAAATCCGATGTGTGTGTGTGTGTCCGTGTTTGTGTGTGTGTGTGTGTGTGTGAGAGTAAGGTGAAGCATTTTGCTAAATCTAGTATATCACTACGTCTCTATCAGGGTCAGGACGATGCTGAACAAGTGAGCAGCTTGTTATGTGAAGGGAGTTGAAGACTGTTAATTATTATATTCAATAAAACTTTCTGCACAAAGTCATCGAGGCTACCTGGAACACTAACAACCTCCCCTGAGGGTCAGAAAACATGCCGGTGGTGTTTGTAGGGTACAACTACCAGAGGAACAGCCGTTAAAGACGCCTCTACAAGCTTGTAAACACATTATGCTGCATGACTTTATTCTCCCACTTCTGATGAACTCTGCCAGGTGTATACGGCTTTCAGTGTTAATAACATGAAACTGTGATGGGTCCCTGAGGAGAACACTGTAGCAGCAGATAACAGAAGAGATGGGAATGAACACAGATAGAGTAGACGGGTGAATATCTAAACGTTATAACATGCTATGTGCAATTTATGAATGAGGGGTTAGAAGAAAAGTAGGCATCAAATCAGTAAATGTTCCCTAAAATAACTGATCATATTATATTACTGAAGTGACATTAAAACAAAATAAATTTAGATAAAATGTCAATGTTTCTTCACTTGTTTATTGCTTTTGGATGTCTAATTCATTCAACAGTGAAAATACTGTTAATAATATTAAATATTCTCCTTTTAGTCCAAGTTAAATTCCTCAGCTGAATGACTGATGGTCTTCTTGTTGATGCTGTTTTTGTTGTTATGTAATCTGGATCTGTGCCTTTTTCCAGATTATCCCTGGTTATGTTAAAGGACATTTACAAAGATGTAAAGATTAGTCGATCAATCCATTAATTGATCAACAAAGTTGCAAACTAGCCAAGTCTCTCTTCATGTTTCTCAGTGTTGTGAGGACTTCCTGCTTTTGTTGTCTCATACAAACTATGTGAAGTCACAAAGTGTCTGAATCATGTTAGTTTAGATGAAACTGATGACATAATCCCTGCTCTACTAACACACTATATATATTTATATCAACACCAGACATCACAGCAGTCTGTTTCAAGCCACAACCTGCTCCTCGAGTCCCTCACGAGACACAATGAATGAATCCTTTTGGAGGTTTAGTAGTAAAACACATATAAACACATCACTGCGTCGGCCTGCTCGCGCCACAGCGCTGCTCTTACACACAGACAAGTAACACCGTTTAAAAACTCTTGCCTGCTTTTGTCCATTTCCACCGACACAACAGCAACAATGCAACTTCCCGCAGCAACAAATAAAGACTTACCGGCGGAAAGCAACTTCAGTCAGCTGCTCACCTCCTTATTGTCTCTGACTGAACCGGACTAACGGTAAAGCTGTTGCATCCAGAGTTCAGTTGTAAAGTTGTGAGCTAACTACACGCTAAAGTTCACGTACAGGCATCCGTGATTAGCTGCTGCTGTCGCCGCTAGCTTCCTTTTCCCTTTCTTCGCCTTTTGTTTTTTTGTACATAGAGTTACGTTTTTTTCAAATCCTAGTCATCACTGCCACCTATCGGTCAAAGCGGTGAATTGCAGCACTGCACACTTCAAGGACTGATAGAGGGAAGTTAATAGATGCATAATATAATATATATAAAATCTAATATAATATATATAAAATCTAATATAATATATATAAAATATAATATATATAATGCAATGTAATATAATATAATATATATATTATATATAATTTAATATACTATAATATAATATAATATATATAAAATATAATATAATATAATATCATATCTAATATATCATATCATATTATATTATATTATACAGCTGTACTACACTGTAATTATCACAATGTGTATCATTTTTTAAGCTTATCAAATATTTTTAATGCCAAATCTTTCAATTCAAACATAACTAGCACCTCCAGCTGTCCAATAAATGCACAGGACTAAACATTCTACTCTTTTAATTTTCATATTAATGTAATGTATTGGAGCAGAAGTATAAAGTAGCAGAAAATGGAAATACTCAAGCAAAGTACCTCTAAGCTGTACCTGCTACTGTACTTATTGTAGGCCTAAACAGTCCAATAAAGTACATTAAAGTATATCCCAAAATTACTGGTATACAGAAACAAACGTGGATCATATTTTAGTCATTTCAGAGGTAAAACACAGACTTTGTATTTTGTTGAGTGAAGTTATTTATCATGCCCTGCTGGAACCACACACAGTCAGCTGAGGTATGAAACAAGATTTCTATAATCCCACAGTTTGCTTCCCAGCATCAGACTGGCACTGGTCGCTGCCAAGCAGCCCGGTGTGGCTGATGTGAGTCTGGCAACCTGTCAAGAAAATGTGGAGAAGCTCTCTGTCCCATCATGCAATGGGACATGAGAAGTGAGTCTGTGCTGCGAGCATAAGGAAGTAGTGTTCACATAAAAACCAGTAACCACCTCTCCCTCCCTCTCCTCATCTTCTCTCTCTGACCACCTCACCAGCATCCAAAAAAATCTCTTGAATTATGTAATGCATTTTTTCTTTTTTAAATCTAAATGCTCTCTGAAGCACCCTGTCTTCACTGATTCAATAGGTGCACTATCATTGATGGCCATCTTGGATTTTGACAAACACGTCTTTGTCCACTTTGACTCACATTCAGCTCACAAGCAGAGGAGAGGAAACGGAGGCGTAGAGGTCTGTGACATTAAAGGTATAAGACGGTCAGCAGTCAAATTAGCATGGACTCCTATAGAGAAGAGTTAAGACGTGTGCGCAGTCACCAAATTTAGCTCTGTGCCCAAATAAATGATTAATGTGTTTCCATGGATTAAGAGTGCGCGCAGTTACTAATGATGGATAATGAGGTGAATGGGTTCAACAAGTGTCTTTCTTCCGTCTCTTGCTCACTTTCTCCCACCCTTCATGAGAAAGAGGGAGATATTTGCTGTTGTTATGACTCATAAACTCTGCCACATTTACTGGAACTGAGATCAATCTTTATACAAAACTGTACATTTCTCTCTTTAGGCCAATGGCGGCTGTGGAGGACATTTTATTCATTTGAGGCTTAAAATAGCTGCAGTAATGACAGAGATGCAGAACGGTGCGTTTCAGTCAAGCTTGCCATTTGTCACATTAGCCAGAACGCAAAAAGTAATTACATTTTACTGATGAAAATGCACATACAACAGCATGCTTGCCATGTAACTTAATTATAGAACTGAACTGAAATTAGATCAACTTTACAATACCACTGAGATAATTTGCCACCGCTAGATGAAACATCAACAGCCTTTTAAATATAATCACAAAATGATGAGAAGACGATCTCCTGTGCATCCATTTTGTCCAGACATGCTCACCAGAGCTATCAGCGTGGCTCACACATCCACACACATACACTGTTATATATAGTGAGCGAGCCCTGACAGCCATAAAGCGCCTATTCACCTCTATGGAGGGGCTGTAAAGCAAAAAAAATGCAGCCCTCTAACTTGATAGACTGCCAGAGGCTGTGTCAACACACACACACACACACACACACACCCACACACACACACACTGCTCTTTTTCCTTAATGGATAGCAGGATGAGATGCCCAGCCAGGACTGGTTGAAAGAAGGCCTTATGACAGGGACACACACACACACACACACACACACACACACCTACACCCCCCCACACACACACACACGATATGACAAGCAGCCTTCATATTAACAACTTGTGTACCAGCCAGCCTGTGTAAAGAGTAAACTAAACAATTAACACCAGAAAGTGATTTTACATATGCGTTTGGAGACTGCAGGATGACAACAGCATAATATGATGTATGAGCTTAATGCACGTAGAATACCTCATCTGTTGGCAGAGTTGGTGCGCTCTATTGGTCAAGGAAAATAAATGGCAGCTTTCACTCAAACAAACGTTCTTATTATATTCTTACAAAAAGTTTGAGCCAAACAATGTCAATAATTGTAGAAATGCATTTTAAGCTGTGTTCGGTGATCTTGAGTCTTGTTTCAACATGATATTAAACTGTAAATAAATGTGACAAATCAAACAAAGTATCTGAATAAATCAGATGTAAAACATAACAAATGCAGATCACAACAATAGGATTATCAGACAATGGGCTCCTGGTCACAGACATGCAAAAGGCCCCACCGCCTCTCCACATAAGAACTAACAAGACTCACAGAACTTATAGATGTTTAGCGTCTTTTTGTTGTTGTTTTGTGTCTCTCAGTTGTTACGCATCTCTCTGTGGTTTTGTGGTCTGTGTGGACATTTTGTGTGTCTTAGATATTTTGTGTCCCTTGGTTATTATTTTGGTCATTTTCCAGTTATTTTTGTGTGAAATTTTGAGTTTCTTTGTAGTTGTATTGTGTCTTTTTGTAGTTGTTTTGTGTCTCTTTGTTATCATTTGGAGTACTTTGTGGTTGTTTTGTATCTGTTTGTGGTTGTTCCATGTTCTTTGTGATCATTTTGTGTCTCTCTCTGGTTGGTACAGGGGGCCATGGTGGACCCTGACACTTTGGGCCCCTAAGCCTGTGCCCTGTAGTCCTGGTGAGTAATCCATCCATGAACACAAGGGGCCGATGAATGCTTTTATGTGTATATACAATATGTGAATCATATGCTATGACCTATACAGTCACCAGATCTCAACCCAACTGAACATCTATGGAGCCACGTCGATGTTAGACAGCGCTCTTCACCACATCACCATCAAAACGACAAACCGGTGAATATCTTTTGGAAGACTGGTGTTTCATCCCTCCAGTAAAGTTCAAGAGACTTACATAATCTTTACCATTAAGGAGCATTGGAGCTGGAAACACATTATGTTCTTTTTTCCTCTAATTTCATAACCCATGTGGTATTGTTAGCAGGGTTAGATAAATGTGGGATACTCAATGGAATTTAAAAAGTATTTCTGAGGGTTTTAACAAGAATTACCGTCTGTTGGACCTGAGTGACAAAGGGGTTTAAGATCAAGTTGAAGAATTGTTCAGCACTGGTATAGGTTTGTCCCTCCTATTTCATATTTAGACACAGAGATAAACTGATCCTCCTGATTTGAATGAGCAGCTTCATTCTGTGTATTTTTAGAGGTAAGTAAATATAATTCTAGCCTGGAAAAGTGTGAGGACGATTAACATTATAAAAAAAACTCCCAATTACTGTTCACAAGCAGCCACAAAATGCTAAGCGGAGAGAGTCTGCTTCAGGCACATTTTATAACTTGCAGGAAGGAATTTTCTAGCATCTCCAGGATGTTGACGTTCCTCCTAACGGCTGCTGGACCTCAGGATGTTGCTGAGACGTGACATGTTAGACGATATAAACTGTCTGACTGAATTGACAGAAAGCCTCATCTGTGTGTTTCTGTCTGTCTCAATGTCAAACATGTCTGCCTGCCCCTCTTTTTGCCTGATATTTCTCATCTTGATCCATCTGTCTGTGTCCAACAGCTTGTCTTTCTCTGCATGTGTGTGCTGATTTAGAGTCTGTGTAGTGTGCAAAATCAGCTAAAACAAGTTTTACTCTGTGAACTGTCAGTGACTCTGACGTACAGACCACTGACATTTAAATATATTATAATATGGAATAGGTGGTCGTGTACAATACATGTGTGTGCATGTATATGTGTGTTAACACTCACCCAGGTACTGGCTGTATACATTACAGTGGTATAATTATACGTATTCATATAGTTTCTAAATTGAGTAAATCTGTGTTTTTAAAGGGCCAATACGTAGATTTTCGGCAGATCCATTAGCAGAAAATTCATTAGTGTATATTCACCTGAAACTAAGAATCTTTGTGTTTTCGTCATCTTAGAATGAGCACTTCAAATCTATATAGGGAGTGGGTCCTCTTCACGGAGTCCACCATGTTTCTACTGTAGCCCAGAACGGACAAACCAAACAGCTGGCTCCAGAGAGAGCCTTTCACATTTTAAGTTACCTGAAGGCCACCGTAGTTCTCCGACACATTTGTGAAACTGTGGTAACATGAGCTGCAGAGTGCAAAACCGTGGTACCACCAGACGCCGTCTGACTTCCATTGCTCTACTACAGCAGTGTAATAAATGTAAGGATGACCAATGAGCGAGACAAACGGTGTTATTGCGGTTTTGCACACGGCTGCTCACATTACCTCAGTCTTGGAAAGGGAAAAGTAAGTGGAGGAGTACACAGTTGGTTTCAATCTGCCACCCAACACCTTCTCATTCCAACTCGTCACATACCGACGCTTGGTTAGACGCCTTGGCGTCGCTTTCTAGCTCACTGGGCCGCCCAGTGCGTCAAACTATGAGGCTCCAATACGGTCGCAGTAAACACGTGGTTAACGTTGTGAATTCAAACAAAAACACTTGCTTAGATTTAGGCAGCAAAACCACATGGTAAGCTTTATAAAAATCGCTAGGTATCAAAAAAATGAACTCAAAGTAACGGAAAACACATCACATAAGATAACTTACGTATCTTCAACAAAACTCAACAACATTTTGTAATATACTGGTCACAAGAACCAGTCTCCTGTTTGAAGGTCCTGTGCTTGTCTGATCCATCCACCTCCCATCCTGCCCCCCTCTCCCCATGGTAGGTTTTTACTGTATTTATACTTCCAGGTACATGATTACATGGATTACATACAAATTGATTTTGTGGGATATCTAAGAATTACAGCGCATTCATTTCTCTATGTGTAGCTACGATTGCTGTATGAGAACAGCCTGTATGTTAACTATGATATAATTGTGTGCTCTGGTGCACAAATGTGAACTACTCTACGAGAGAAGCCAAATGCACAACAATGATTTTGTCATATGTTTATCAATGCATACTGTCCATGCAAGTGTGTGCGTGTGCGTGTGTGCGTGTGTCTGTGTGTGTGTGTGTGTGTGTGCTTGCCTGTGTGAACAAAAAGCACATCAACCAATCTACCGAAACAGACGCCTCAGCACTTTTCCTGAGCTTGAAATTTGTCACCCTCAAGAAAAAGCCTCAGTCTGGTTCTAGTTGATCCCGACTACCTGTGTCAGCAATATTCCAGCTTGTTTCCAGCGTTGCGAAGGCCCATATTTGGATCATTTGAGACGAAGCAGAGAGGAAACACAAGCGTCTCTGTGTTGACCTCCCTCGTCCACTCTGAGAGGTCTTTCAGGTGGACTCTGCTCTCTTGTAAGTCAAGTCTGCACTCACTGAGACTGCAAATGAGCTGAAAACAGTCACTATGAATAATGGGTTTGGGTGTGTTGCGACAAAGACACACAGATAAACACACGTTTAAATACAGAAGGAACAATTTTGGGTGAATGTGACTTTTAGGACGAGTTAACTTATGGAAAGAAAATGATCAAATTCTTAATTTTTTGTGAGAACAAAAGGGTCATTCATGGCCAAACTAGCATGAGCAACAGAATATCACAGTCAAGTACTATTAAATATTACTGATTCTGTGAGTCAGCTCAACACCACAGACATACACACAAGTTCTTTACAACCCCGGCTGTGGAAACAGATTACACGGCAGTTTGTGGAGACTCATTGTGTGCCTTACCCAACACATAAAGCCTATACACTCAACACGTTTAACAACCTCTGTGTAATGTCAGGCAAAAGACACTAAAACGTACTGAAGGGGTGTTTTCCTGCTGCCACAGACAGAGTGGTTCAGTTCTTCACACTTTTAGTTTGTTGTGACTTTGAGTGACAGTGGTATCAAATGCCAAACTGGAGGAAGAAGTTGTTGCTCATATGTTTCCAAATAAATCTACAGATATTTGTATGAAGACATCCATCTAAAAACAGGATTTACATTTCACAACATTTGTCCACAAAGTAGCAGTTGTTCAAAGCCATTCCCATGACGAGAATTGATGGAAACTGAAGGAAGAATTGTGAACTTACAAGACCAAAAGTCAAAAGCAATTTTCCAGAGGTTGTAATGTTGCTTACAACCTATAATTCAAAAGTGTGTGCTAATCAGCCTTACCAGTGAGGCTGAATATATTAAGTTTGTCCCGAGGATGGGGTCATATATGTCACTGGAACCATGTCAATCAAAAGGGCTCATCCCCTGAGGAGCATGAATGTGCTTAGTAAATTCCATTGCAATGCGCCCATTAGTTTCTGATATCCATTGTCCCCTGGAGGAAATCGAAGGAGCTCAATAAGAAGAACAAGCAGATCGTGTATGTCCACAACAAATCTCATGTCGGTACAAAGTGTTGGTGAAGGCGATGAAAGGTTCCTTCAGGGGGAGCTGACCAGATAGTGACCCAAATATCCTCGAGAAGTGGCACCACTCCATATAAATGGCAGATGAGGTGGTTTGGCACCAGAAAACTTTTAAAAAGGGATGTTGAAAGCAAAGGAAGCTGCAGCCTCACAGCAAACTGCCAACTTATGTTTCTCCTCCTTACTTCAATGAATGGCATTTGGCCTCACCTGACCAGAACCTACCACCTGCCCAGGTCGTGTGAGCTAAACTGCAAGCATCCAAATCACTCACTACCTTACCTATCTTCATCTTATCATCCTCAGGCCTTCCTGATAGAGAACCCCAGTGGCAATGACAAATAACAACATGTAGCTTTTAGATTTCGTTGGGCTACAAATGAGTCACAAATAATTAAACGTGTAAACTTCCGACACCTCAGGTCTAAAATTTCTTCCGCCAGCTTTGTAAATGTGTCATTTGACAGCAAGTTGATCTGCTGTTAGAAGGTCTAGTGTTCTCTCGGATTGAGCACATCTGGTTTATTTTTTGTTCTTGTCACTTCATGTGCAGTGACACGATGTCCCACTGGTGGAGGGAAAGTTAATAGTTTAGCTCTAAAAATCTAAACCATGCTTTTATGTTGTCAAGAGATGAGCAGAGCTGGAGACGAAATTACCTCAAATAGTCAAAATAAGGTAAAATGGATTAACAGGTAGTTAAGATTTAAGAATTTGAAAGAAGATTGTTTGCATTTATCTGGGTCAATGTCTAACTCCCGATCTGATTTCTGTGATCTCAACAGATGACTCAGTATGTGAGAGAATGAACACAGCGGTTCTTCTACAGGAGGAAAAAATGGCTATGGTCTCGTAGACTGTTCCTTTGTTTGACATTTACTTTTTCTTTCATGGGCTCTGGAGCAACCGTTTGGCTCCCCTACAGTCTTGGCCGTCTTTACATTGAGAGAGACGCACTCAAAAATCAGTCTGAGATCACAGCAGCAGCATAAGTGAGGTACTTTGTGGTTGTTAGGGCGATTTTCCACTAAACAAAACTATGAGAGCCAAAGAATGGTTCACTCAGAGTTATTAAGTAATGATACAATTTTTAAAGTCACAAACCTTTCTATCGTCTTATAAAAACTGTATAACACATTTTGTGGGGCTTTTGGCTTCAAGGAGCTTTCTTGTGACTATAAGAGCGCCATTTGTAATCCCCAAAACCTGCTGGCTTGGAAAAGTGGGAAACACTTCTTCCTCTTCAGCGTCTCCTGTTCTGCTCAATGGCTTTCCAGTGAAGCTTCTCAGCTGCCAACTTTAGAAATCTGTGGTTGAACAGGCCATTTAACTATGAATGTGCATGAAAATGTCAAGCACGTGTCAACGTGCGAACTTTCCCTGCATTAAAAAAAAAGAGCAGTAAAATATATTTTTGGAGGAGGCCTGGTATAAAAACGTTCTGGTGCCTGACTTTCTGTGCGGCTCCTTCAGATGTGTTACCATGCAACGGCTGATTGACATGAATGATGGTGAGTAAACCTGATGTTTCTATTTCATCTGTGTGCAGCTGCTGAATAAACACGGAGTCGGCAAATAAGCACAAAATTAGAGCAAATCGGCGGCTAATACATTTCCCTTTGAAGATGTAGATGGTAAAAGTCCGTCAGTGAGTGCAGGCAGCACACAGCCGGTATTTACACCTCTGAATAGAGTTTGGAGGGAGACACGCCTCTCCTCAACCTCAGGCCAACATTAGCATCTTTGACTTTTAAGTGAATGCACACTGACACCAGCGGCAGACACATGTGGCAGTATATACATGCTGAAACACGCAGTCTTTTTCAGGATAAACAGTCATCAACACATACTTCACATTCTTTGACATTATTATTGTTTTGTAAACTAATAACTTGTGGTACATTAAGCAGTATAAAGTAATACGAATTAGGTCCAGGTCCTTTTTATCAGCTTCAACATTAAAGTGACGAACACATTAATGCACATATCTTTGACACAGTACTGTAGATCCTATATTTCAACATGATGGAATATAAATTAAAGGTGGAAAACGCTGTTGTTCTATAAGTACATAATCGTAATGTTATCTATCACATCATGGCCAACGTAGCTGAGAAACTGCTCAGCATCTACAACAAATAGTTTGCCAAGAACAGAATAAATGCACCATACATTGTTTTGTTGGCATTGTTGCAGACAAATGAAGAGCTAGCGGGACACGCTGTAGCCACGAAATACACTCATTTCTGATTGGCTGGCAGGTGTTCGATAAAAATCATGGACACACATCAGAAAACATCATATGCAATAGTGAAATACTGACATTTTATTGCACAATTAATTTTGCTGATAATACTTTTACTATAGTAAGGTTTTGAATGCAGGCCTTTCACTTGTAGTATTTTCACAGAGTGTTATTAGTATTTTTACTTAACTGCTTGTATGTCAGGACCCCTCCCAATATCTACACAGTACAGAGACAACTCTGGAGTACGACAACGACCGACAGTATACTGTAAATATTCATCCATTTATTTTACTGTTTTCAGGCAGCATGAACTACAGCATAAGATAAGATTAACTTTTACTCATACTATATTTTGTGAGCTACAGAAGAATATTAGAGCCATAAGGTGAAAAATGAGAGGAGGAAGATTTCTTTTTTTATTTGCATTTCGAGAAGTAAGTCAAAATGTCAAAAATAAAACCAAAATGGCGAGAATAAATGAAAAATGTCAAGAATAAAGCCGAAATGTTGAGAATAAGGTTGAAATACCATTTGAGAATAAAGTCAAAATATTAAAAATAACATTGACATTTTAAGAATAAACACAAAATGTCAAGAATAAATGAATAAACTTTTAGCAAAGAGCATAATCTGAAATTTCGCCTTTATTCTCAACATTTCTCATTCTTAATAGTAATACTATCCGTCTCTATTCAAACCAATTTGACAAATAACTGCAGATAGACTGACACAATCTGACATTGTCCAGGACCAGCAAGTATCCCTTTATTTTGCCAGATTTTATGAGATTCTGTGCTTCAGCGTTGATATTCAAGGCTGTTTGTATGACCTCACCAACTGGCAGGAGAGGATCTCTCGCTCTCTCTCTCTCTCTCTCCCTCTCTCCCCTCCCCCCTCTCTTTCCAACATCTAAATGTGTGGTAGAGTTCGAATAAAGCTTCTTTCTGCTCTCCTACTCAGGCAGGAGTGAGAGGCCCCTTGAGTCGCTGGCCTGGGAGCTTTGGAGCATCAACGGTACGTTTCCAACTCCCAACTGGAGTCCCTAACAAGGAATATTGTGACAGGGTTATACTTTGACACTTCATCCTCTGATTGGGGGGACAGGTAGGATACTGGTTGAGTACTGTATCAGATGTCAAAGCAAAGGCAACTGTTTGGAGTTTCTTTTTCGATCTCTGGGAAGTTAATCATGAAACAAACCGAATAACTTAAGTCAGTTTTTGTGCTGGTGGGATTGTGATTTGTTTGCTGGCAGTCTGGTATGGTTTCTGCTGCTGAGTTGACTTTAGTGAGGTGTTAATGGATTCAGCTTTTCTTTACAACTAACTGATTGTTGATGTTGGATTTGCTGGTTTAATTTCGCCGTTGTGCTGTGTGTTATTCCACAGTGTTTTAAATGTGAGTATAATGTGGCAGGAAAAGTGTTTTAAAATGAATCCCATTTATATGTCAGTTTGCATTCTGGGTGGCTTCCCTGGATGGTTGGAGAGTGGCATGTATGAAATTGCATCACATAACTTAATTACTCAGTGTCTGAATTAATTTCATCTCAGTAGTACTCAGAGATGTGTGGTCTAACCCTGAATGGTTTGCGACTCCTTAAAACAAAGCCGTGTGTACTTGTGATGCTCCTCGTCTCCGTTGCATGTCTACAGATCTTGACCGCGTCATTCAAAGAGCAGTTAAGCTTTCCTTGTTTATACATTTACAATACTTAAAATGCTAAATTCACAAGAAAACAAGCAAATATCAGAAGAACGTCTGACTTAAGAAATACAATTTCGTGCAGCAGAAATATGTTTTTCTTCTTTCCCATCTTACGATCGGTCGTCTTTGCGAAACCTAAGATTTATTACGCGACCCCCTTGACCCCCAATAGGGGTGGCATCACGGGGAATAAGATACTAAAAGTGCTAAAAGAACACAAATCTCTATCAGACATAGCAGACTGCGTGCAGATTGGTAAGAATGAAAACATACACAGAACTTTGTCACTTCCAGACATCAAGTCGCAAATGGAAAAAGGGGAAAAATCTTCTTTTTGAATTAAAATCCAAGCATCTGAGCAGTGAGAAACTGTGTTTGATTATTGTGGAAAACAATGTTACTTCTTGCAATATGGGAAACTACTGTCAAGAGTGACACCCTGTTACCATGGTCACATCGAGCCGTTGGAGCGCACGTCGTGAATTATAATTTTCCGATGTCAAGAAATGAAACAAACAATTGACAAAGGGTTCAGCTCCAGCAAATATCTTTAGACTTTTTATACGTAGGATCATCTGTAAGTTAGTCTCAGATATAGTGTCTACTTGTTTGTATACGTTTGCCACATTTAACTAATGTGCACATGTTGCTCAAGCATGTCTTTGTATGAACGCATGTCCTAATATACCCATAGGCACCTGTGAATATGAATATTTTTTCCCCCCCGTCCACCCACTTAACTGTACAAGAGTCTGTGTGTGTTCTCAAACACAGCCCATACAGTATGTGTCTGTACAGCGACACATGTACACACACTCCCATGCGTTTTCTTTACCAAGGGGCATCGGACGTGCGCTGCCCTCACATCCCTGTGGTAATCTATGAGTGTAGGTCTGTGTTTCTGTGTGTGTGTGTGTGTGTGAGTGTGTGTGTGTGTGTGTGTGTGTGTGTATGCGTATCAATGTCAACTCTGTTCTTCTGCTGAGGGACTCTGGAGGGCTGGAGGAGTGTGGGAGGTGGTGAGCCTCCCCTGGATGCCCGCCTCATGTTTACCTTGGCAGGGTCACAGGCCCCCCTCCCCCCTGAAGGCCCTGCTCCTGTCCGTTGCTGGAACAGACCAAGGCCTTATTGCCTTCAACCTCAGCTGGGAGCGGAACATACCACAGCGGCCGAACAGGGGAGCGAGTAGCAAACCCCTACCGACTGACTGAATGGGCACACTGTGGAGAGAGGGCCGACTGGCTCGACCTGGCCTGGTGTGGCTTGCTTACGAATGCTAGTGCACGTTATGAAGTGGCCACAGTTTAAATGATGCATTTAAAGAGAGCCGAGGGTCTGCTGAATGATTGGATGTTAAGGGGTAAGGAGTCAAGGTTTTGGTTGGCTCGCTCTCTGGCGTTCTCTGTGCTAATACATTGTGAGGGAGTGAGAGTACCCGTTTGCTTTCTAGCTGGTCTTCATTGATTTTTGGGAGGCCTACCTTGACTTTGACATATGGCATTATAATTTTTATGTAAATGAATATATGACTCAGTCAATTTATGCAACACAAACAGAAAGATACAGCACGAATTCATTACCTTTTCATATATACTGTATATATATATCCTCTATATCTACCCATAATTACTAACTCAAGAACAAATATGCAAAAAACATTTAAACAGTAGTTAAAGAGTAACTTAATTCCAGACTGAATAGCTGTGTGCTTGACAGTGATGGGTGTGATTGGATGTGGCCTGAAGTGTGCACTGCTGCTGGCCTGATATCTTCAGCCTGACATCGCCCCCACTCTATTTCAGCCTGTTCTCATTCCACGGTCATCAAATACAGATGCTTTGTTACGCCCCCTCGGCGTCTGATACCGACGCACATTGCACCCTTTAGCGTCTGCTCATCCGGGTCACCATTAGACACTCAGAGAAAACGCTCGGAGAGCGTGATGACGTAGTATAAAGGCTGAGGGGAGGTGGATAGTGTTTGAGATCGGTGTTTGTGTGTGGTTGAGTTAGTTCGTATCCGCTGAATCTAACAGCATTTTAAGTCGACACTGATGTGTAGCTACTAGTTTTGCCAGAGTTTTAAGAATGGAGCGGAGTGAAGTCAACATGCCAGACGAACCTGTCAACTCAAACTAGTGGAGGGGCGGATTGAATTATCTGGACCCCGGAAACCCTATTGTACATTTAAGAGTGATGTCACGCTGTACTGGAACACCCTGGAGTACACTTCTACATCACTGCAGCAGTGTGAGAAGTTAAACCACTGGGAGTCAGCAGAAACAATATGTTTAGCTGCTGTTAAGTTGCTCTATATTGGAAATATACTTTAGACATTACTTTTGATCTTATGGCAAGTCTTAAAGTCTTAAATTCTTAAAAGATCACTTAAAAAGTATTTTGTATTTATTCTTGCAGCACATGCAACATCTTAAAATGAGATATTCATGGGAGGTTGTTGGTGGAAAGTATTTTGAGAAAAACAGAAATATGGTCATACTCCAGAAAAGTTGAGAATAAATCCAAGAAGGTTAAAAAAAATGGTGCTGAAGTCAGGAATAAACCACAAAAGTCAGGTCAAGTCAGCAAACACACCCAAAAGTAGAGAAGGCCAAAAAACAACAAGACGTCAGTGAGTCCGAATACGTCATCGTGAAGAGGTTGCGTGGGTGGACTGAACATCACAGACGGATAATAAAAGCATGAGAGTGTGGGATTATTCCAGGGTGATTTGTCCATCTGTCCACATATGGCGTGTGGTATTTTGTGTTTCTTCCCAAACTAAGCAGACATTCACTCTCAGACATATCTTAGACAGCAGGGCAAATATTAGTCCTACTGTATGTTCTGCTCTGAGGAACTCTGAGAATGCTAGCATCGCACACACACACACACACACACACACACACACACACACACACACACAC